GCGCAGAACTATAGAGAAGGTTCCTACAAACTGATCGCAATTGCTCTGTGGCTTCCTGTTATACGGAAAGAGCTAGAAAGTCCAAAAATTTGGTTAGGGCGTGCCGCGACACTCACCATTTTGAAGGGTCGTCCCCCACTTTCTAGGTTGTTTTATGCAATGAAGACGATCTGTTTCCCTATTCGTTTGCAACAAGCGATAAAGAGGAGATTCTTTACTACTGGATTGGGAATCTTGCTGACCGCAATCAAGGCTCCACAGCCATGCAAAACTGAAACTGTACTGAAGGGAGGTTGAGGTGATTTCATAAGGTCAGCGGCTGGTCTAGCTTTTCGGAACCAGGTGGAACCTTTAATATGGGAAAGTACTCTTGATAATATTCAAAATAATCCTAGAATTCTAACTCATTCGCCCAGCATTCTTCATTATGAAGAATCAGACTCATCCCTGAAAGGTAGATGGATGTAACCCTGCAGAAGTTGAACCAGCTGGGCATAAACCAGCATAATCGGTAGACCTTTTGCCTATAAAGTCACTTTCTCGATGACCTGGATAGCTTCTTTGAAAGAGTTATGCTTCAAAAACCAACATGATGCGAAACGACCTCCGCCGGGTTCATCGTCTCTAGAGCTCCAGTATTCTGCACTACCGGGCTGATTCAACGCAACTTATTGGCAGAGGTTTGTGGATTCTAACAGTCTTTACTCCAATCAAAAAGGTTTCGAATGAGCCGAGATACAGGCATTTGAAAATCAAGGTCGAAAAGCGCAAGAACTTTCTTCACGACCTAATAATTATATTTTACTAGCACTCTTCCTATTCATGTGGTTCGTGGAATCCTGACTATACCTCGCCCGGGTCAACTGAACCCTCCATTATCTCTTCGGGTCGAGGAACTGGTATCAGACTTGCACATGAGGATAAAAACACCAGCAGTATTACATCGACCGACATTAGAAAGTCATTATTTAGGAGACATCGAATTCAAGTCCCTCCTGAATTATCCCGTCCTCAATTCTGAATAGAAGGAGATGCATGGCGCAGCCCGAAAAGGATCAATTATTTTATCTTTTGGGATTCATAACCAGTGCTATTCGCATATGTTTTCTAATGAATGACCGAAGGAACGTTCGACTTCCTCACAGTATTATGAATTTTGGTCGAACGGTACATTTATGTGCCATTGCTTGCCTATCCATGTCCGTATATTGCTTTGTGAAAAGGTTTGAAGCCAAAAAGATAATTTTTGGCCTAGAGCGCGCTAACCCCTTTTGAACGTGCATGTCCTTAGGCCAATTACTGGAATACCCTGAGTAAAGAGGAGTGAGTGGATGACTCAGTGACACTTTGTTCCCGGTCGCTTATACTATGCTTCTCGTAGCCTCTGGAATCCCGTTGAGTGGCCGGTTAGCGATCGGAATTGTTATCAATGTTGCTTATCACGCGTCTTGTCACTTTCGCCTTTTCGGATTCCGGATTGGCTATCCCTCTCTCTCGTGCGCGCGCTTGAGCGCTCGATCCCGCCGCGCTTCTTTGGGCAACATTGCAATCAACGTTTCTTTGTGACGTTGGCTCGATATGCTGTTTCGGACAGTTTTTCCATTCACACTTCAAGTTTTCACGGAATGTGACCCCTGAAGTGATAACTGAACTAGATCTGCTCAACGGAAGATTAGGTTTCTACATTTACATCAACGAACGCACCACTTGACCCTTGACTTTCAGACCCTAAATTCCACGGTTCCCTTACAAACTTGATTAAGCCCCTGTGTAGCCACTATGTGGGCCAGCTAAAGGAGGTCTGCCTTATCATGAATTCTGTGGACTCCGCTACTCACTTTCTCATACTCCCATTGCCATAATCGGAGAGTTGATCTCCACAACGCCAATCAATTTATCAGCATGAACCTACGACTTATTCAGTCCTAAAGGAGGAGTGACAAAAAAACCAAAAAAACAATACCAACAAACAAACCAACAAACACACACACCAACACAAAAAAAAACAAAAAAACACAAAAAAGAAAAAAAAAAAAAAAAAAAAAAAAAAAAAAAAAAAAAAAAAAAAAAAAAAAAAAAAAAAAAAAAAAAAAAAAAAAAAAAAAAAAAAAAAAAAAAAAAAAAAAAAAAAAAAAAAAAAAAAAAAAAAAAAAAAAAAAAAAAAAAAAAAAAAAAAAAAGCCAGTCGCCACACACAAGAACACACACGAAAGACACATCTAAAAAACGCGGCTCAATAGAAAGCAAGGAAAAAAAAAAAAAAAAAAAAAAAAAAAAAAAAAAAAAAAAAAAAAAAAAAAAAAAAAAAAAAAAAAAAAAAAAAAAAAAAAAAAAAAAAAAAAAAAAAAAAAAAAAAAAAAAAAAAAAAAAAAAAAAAAAAAAAAAAAAAAAAAAAAAAGAAA